GATGGTTTTATAAAAACTGAAACATGTTGTGTAAAGGATGTTCCAAAATGTAAATCGATCAATCGATATGGAACATCAATGATATTTTATTATCTTAATTATAAGAAATTTTAAATATTGTGATAAGACGGATTGAAATAAATAATTGCTAAATAAAACAAGTTTTCACACCTACCACTCTCTCTGCATTCTTCTACTGCGTCATTTTCTTTTTCCTTCTTTGGAGTTATCCTATTTATTTATTTATTTCTATCTTTCTACCTTATGGCTTTGTTATTATTATTGGGTTTTTTTCGGAACAGCTTTAGAATGCGATTCAACGGTTTCGAGTTCGGACAGACCCTGCGGTTACTAACCATAAACAACTATTTTAAGCCACGCAACCTGGATTTGGGATTAATTTACGGTTATTACGCCAACAGAAGAAAACAATTTACCAAAGATGACTGGTTGCCGTATTTTAAATTATACCTTTCCTTCCTGCAGTACTCCCTATTTATGGCTGTTTTTTTTTATTTCTTTATATCTTTCAAAGAAAAATAGTAAAAAAAAAACCAACTCACCCATTTCAGAATTAAAATCAGTTTTGAAAATTCATAAAATATTTGTAATATTATATAAAATAATTACATGACACGTGAGTACAGTACTTTAAAACATCCCTCAGCAAAGCTGACCAAATGGACTAAGATAAACATTGGACACCTTGATGAGAAACCTACTCCCAATTTCGATATCTTAGTACAGAAGTAGTCGATTAACCAATCAACAATAGTAAACACTGCTGGAACAATTATAAAAAGTTGACAGCAGATCAACACACTTTCACACAGACACACAAGAATCTCTCTAGGGAGCCCAACGTTTATTACACTAGTAAATCAAACATTACATTTTGTGGATTCGTTATAAGAATTCTAGAGAAAGCAATAATGAAATTATAAAGTTACGTGTCCACACGACGATGTCATAACCTAGAACACCACCATCGTCAATAAATGAAGTGGTTCTCTGAGAAGTCCGCCTTCCCAGTTATCACCGGAGGAGGGGAGAGTTCCCTGGCTTTTGAAGAGAGAGTGAAATGACAAAAGCGAAAGGATCGTTAAGACAGAAACGATGAAATTGTGCAACGCACATACAAGACCACACCTTTTCCCGTACTTATTAATAATTGTCAGCAAACGTCATTCACCAACTCTTGAGATCGTAACAAGACTTGAAAGATGTTGGATTAAATGTAGGTACCAGAGAAAAAAACCGAATTATGACAGCTGCTTCATATTTTTCTACCGGTAAACTGGCAAAACAGGTAGCACTTCAAACTTTAGTAGACACCTAAACTTCGAAATCAAGTCTGCATAAATGTTTGAAGAAGAAAATAAACTGGTTTGTGGGAATTCTTCGAAGATTGAGATTTCAGGTTCTCAGGACGGCGAAGCTGTCTTCTGGGTTATTGCGTCATGTAGTGTAGTTAAGGAAAATCACCGTGATGATGATACAACAAGCACCTCAGAAACGTCGGTCAGACCACATGACGCAGGAACCCGGAAGACATCCATATTCTTCGAAATCTGCACTTCGTTTCCTGGAAAAACCTATCTTTTACGACTTTTCCATCACAACAGCAATATAAGCCTCGAGTATTGACTACTTACAAGGGGGTTCATTCGCAAAACAGTTCCTGTGGCGAAACTAGGGGTTCCTCGGATGTGTTGTTTCAAAAATGAAACTCGAGACATAAGATCAGTCGCTGTCATGTATACAACATGCTAGTAGATTTTAAGATTCAGTGTAGAGCTGAAACACTGTAATCTAACCGAAAGCAAGCAATATTCCCCTTCTCCTTTTCTGGTTCTGTTAAAAATACGTCACTCGTTTGTGTTCCACAGACTCGGAGAGAATGTTGCCGGTGTGTACCGGCAATGGCAAACAGCTCGAGCATACGGCTACATTTAATCGCGCTGCATGGATTCGTGCTAGTGAAACCGTCCACATTTACGAAGACACAAGCATTAGAACGAGCAATCTATACGCGTCCTTATTGGACCTCCATGTCTTCTAAGAAAACGCAAGATTTTATAATGCTCATGAAAATGTTCTTTATACCAAGTAAATTTGTATGTTTATGTCTGATAAATGAGATAATCTTACTGATTATACTCGTAATTATGTTTACTAGCTTGCCATTATGCGCTGTAATCTAATCTGGAAATCGGTTCACAATCTACCTACAGGATTCCGTATTACTTAGAGTTGTCTTGATTCTTTTAAGTGTAGGTTTATGACAATGGTTAATTAATTCCTTTTATAAAGCCACGCTGGGCATTATCCATTGCTTGACGTGATGTTTCGGGAGCAGATTCTACTCCCGTATTCAGCTGACAGAATTTCTATAACTTTTCTTTTGTTAGTATTGTCAACGGTCTAGTGGGTAACGTACTAGTGTAGTACCGGTATACAAAAGATCCGGTGTTCGATACAAACCGTTGCCACTGTATCAAAATAAAAAGTTGTCAGTGGAACCAAGGTTCCGGAGAATTTGACGTAAATGCGTCTATACGGAAAGGAAGTTTATATATTGGCTTTATTCTAAATATTTCCTTTATACATGCTTTACAATTGAGATAAATTTGATTAAGACATTGCTTATTTAAC